GTAGAAAACAAATGAAAAATGAAACACTACCAGACAATCGTGACCGTACGATAAACTTTGGATGGTGATGAAGATAGGCGAAATCACTGTTGATTTTCTCCTATAGGTGTTGGGAAGACTTTTCCTATATATAATTATATATATATGAAAATGTTGAGATTAGCTCACTAGCTCATATGAACATATTGGCCCAACGGTCCAGATTGAGTCTAGGCTATTCTGACGGTCCCGACTTCATTTCGTGTTTAAATTTTAATTGTTTTTCTACGAATCTAAATAATTTGAAATTACATCCATTCTTCTCATCAAGGTGCACCCAATAAAAATTTTTAGACGTATATATGTATAATTAGTGATTTCATGCAACGGTTGTATCATAATATAATACACCCATACTTCTAGATAATCATGTTTGTGTTATTTATATGAATGAAAATTTTGCACGCATACTTTTCATCTCAATAATCAATCTAAAAAAAAAAAACTAATTTGCACTGTATATATGTCAAAATGAGTCCCCTGTAACAATAAATCTAGACCGTCAATTTGATGAATTTCAAGATTTATGTCTTTATGAATTCAAAATCGTATTTTTTTTAAAATATTGTTAATCTAATGATAATAAAATTATCTAAAATATTAGGAAATAAAAAAAATCATTTTAAAGCCTAGATCTAAGCATCTCACCAAAATAGACGGCTTATATTAATTGGGCTAAGAAAATACTTTCTGGGTTGCATTTTCAAAATTATATTTATATATAACCAAGTGTCCTAATCTTTTTGGGTGTCAAACTTCTTTTGGAAACTTATCAATATCAATATTAATCCCATAAAATGTGAGATTTCTTATGTGAGTGATTTTATATCCAATAATCTTTACATTGATATCAAAATCACTTAGCTCACCATGCCAACATCCATTGGATAGGTTTTTAAATTCTTCATCTGACATGGATTCTAATTTTGTCAAGTTTTCTTTTAGTGCTTTATGTAAACTTTGTTGCACTAGCAAATCCCGAACATTGATTTGCCAAATTTTAAATTTATTTTTACTATTAAATTTCTCCACCTCGAACTTTGTATAACCTCTACAGCCATACCGACAACCCCAAATTAGGCTTTGATACTACTTGTTGTGCGTGGAAGCTTTAAACACGATAGGTTGACTTTGGACAATAAAGTACGAGAAAAATAGAACAAGCAACAAGCAAGAAAAATAAAGTAGGAAAAAATAACAGAAAAAAAAAGCCAGAATTTATGTAGTTTGTCAGCGATGTGACTACATCCACATGCACAACAAACTGAAATCAACTGTACTAATGAAGGTTACATCTTAGATTTCGAGACAAAATTACCTTTCCAACTCTTTATAATACCCGAGCAAATCCTTTTAGACCTGCTATCCCAACCGACACAACTGCAAATCTCTCATCTCTATTCCATTGCTAGACCAATGTCCAAGACGTGAACCTTGAGAGTAACGAGCCACAAACCACCCAAAATCTCTTTGAAAACTACTTCTCTATAAGAAACTAGCATCAAACCACCCAGATCTTCATGAGAACTGCTTCTTTACAACCTACAGGAGGCGCCATAGAACATTGTAATGTTTCTCTCCATAAAAAACTCTCGTATCTCTAAGGGTCTTTTCTCTAACGGGAGGCCTTGATTCTCATGTTCTTTTTTCTCTAAAGATATTCTCTCTTATGCACCATCACAATGCTTCTCTCCATAAGAAGCTCTCCTCTAAACAAAAAAAACCTTACCTTTTATACTCTTTTCTCTCTAAGGATCTTCTCTCCGAGAGGAGGCCTTGCCTCTCATGTTAGGGGCGCCCCCGCCCCTCTCTTTAGTACGGTAGTCTCTCTCTTGCATGGGAGAACATCAATATTTCCACGTTTCTCTCGTAGCTTTGTATAAGGAGGTCCTAGTCAATCAAACGGTGGTCTCCCTCCCTCTCTCTCTCTCACAGGAGAACATCAATATTTCCACGTTTCTCTCATGGGTTGTTGTATAATTGTTTCATGGGTCTGTATAGGACTGAGCTCCTAATCAATCAAAAGTTAGGCATGCTTCCTGTAAAAAAAAAGTAATTATTTTAGTATAAAAAAGTTTGTGATGGCTTAAAAATTTGTTTTCATATCTAGTTATAAAATTTGAAGATTAAAAATCAATGTACAACAAGCAGATCTACAAACATTTGAAAATTTTGAAAATTGATGGTCTAGAGAATAATTACAATATGCACTATTTTTAAAACTTAAAATCTATTTTTTCTCATGTCCATACATCTCGAGGTCAAGATGATTGAATTGAGGGTTTTTTAGCACCAAAACATCTTCTAATGAATTTTTAAGGTGTATTTTAATTTGATTGTTTAAGGCCTCACCCTTATATCAACTTTTTCGTTTTCTCATTGCCACTTTTTTAGCTATTGAGGCGGCTACGGTGACTTGCAAACACGATTTAAAATCCATTTGATCTTTAGACGCGGTTTCTATAGGGCCTAGGCTTGATGAAAAAAAGTAAAAGCCTTTTCTTGAACCTTCAACAGCAAAACACTTCTGGAGTGGAAAACTCCTATAATGACTCTAAAATCTATTTTCGCTATTGATTATAAATTTGTAGCTTAAAAAAGATATAGATCTCGCAGATACATGAATACTTGAAAATTTACGGTCTAGAATCTCTAGATAATGTGTTACTTTACCTTCTATTTTTAGAGTTTATAATCTTAATTTCTTTTCATATCTATACTGGCTGGTTAAAATTGATATGATCCATTTGAATATTTTTGGGCTTTTTCATTTTGGGCTTGTCATAAGGCCTAGGCCTTATATATCAAAAAGGTTTGTGGTCCCTTTTGCCAACTATACTGACAAGGGCCGTGCAGAAGAGCCTTTTTCTTACTGGCCGCCGACTGACGTCTCCTTTCTTTTACGCATATGAATCAAATTTATTTTTAGGGAAAATATGGCCATACATCAAGAATGTATGACATGATAATAACCACACATTTTTAATGGACCAAGAATAAACTTTGATTGTATATGTGTGGTACACCACAACAAAAGATTACAATAGTCCACTCAATTATCATTATTGACATTGGGGTTAACCATAACTTTCTACTAAGGGTGGCAGCGGCCGGGCTGAGGACTGGATGTAACCTGGCCTGGCCCGATAGGTCGAGGACGGGGCTGGGCCAAAAATAACTGAATAGATATTTTTCATAACGGGAAATTTTTTTGTCCATGCATAATCATTTGACTTCTTCCAAAAATCCGTCATGCAAATGGATTTCGAATTTAAAATTTTATAGAGCAATAACCTTGGCCACCACCAACATGAATTTTAAAAAAAGGAAATTTAGACCTTAAACATAGATTATTTTGAAGAATTAAAATGACCAGTGCAAAAAATGTCCAAAAGATAAGTTTAAAATCATCTACTTATAATATTTGAAATGTAAAACTTTTTTTTTTTTTTTGCCAAATTTGTGTTAGTTGTGATCGAGACTATCAATGATAAATTTAGATCCCCATCATGGAATTTGGAAGGGCGCCAAAACCCAATCCTTTAAGTATTTCATTTATTTAATTTTCCCCACAAAATCCATCACAGAATAACATCTCTCTCTCTCTCAGTTATTTTTATCCAATCATCCTGCTGTTTTCCTTTAAATCTCAAAAATAAGGATGACTAATATGTAGAAAAAAAAAATTTAAAAATTTAAAATAATATGTTTTGAAGAATAGTTCTAGACCGTTAGTTTTGTCTTTTTAGGGGACCACCACTTTTTTATACCCATCCTTAGATGGATGTTTGGGGCATCAGGGGACACTAATATAGAATTGTTCTCCATGATGCACAAAACACTTTTTTATGAACAATTGGGCATTTGTGTTTTTCTATTAAGAAACCTATTCTTTACCATTTAGTACAAATATCATCATTATCACTTTTAATGATAAAAATACCTTTATTTATTTTATAGAAATAATGTTATGAAACGGGCAACTAGAGTAATTTCAACACTCGTACCTTTTTCTATATATAACTTATAGGATTTCATTGGGTGTTACTGTATATATAATGATTTCATGCAACGGTTATATAGTAATTATAGGATTTCATTGGATGTTACTGTATATATAATGATTTCATGCAACGGTTATATAGTAATTTAAGGAAACAATATTAAAAAACTATGTTAAGGCTGCAGTCCTTGAACATTATAGAAGGCATTTTCAACCTAATTTCACCAAAGCATTGGAACGTTGAATACCAAAAGTTCCACATTGGGAAACCATATGAAAATAAGCACTTGATTTTATCTTTCCAGGAGCTAACACTGATGAACATCCAACATCCAACATCCAACATGAACCAAACACAGACTGCTAAACATTATTGTGCCCTTCTACGGTGAAGAGAAGGATCGAAAACCAAAGGATTCTGCAATGGCCTCTGTTTATCAGTGGTACTTCCTATAACTTCACTTCTCTATCAAATATCCAACTAAAAGGAACCGATTTTGCTTGTTTTGCCTTCCCATGAGCTCTCTCTGCCAACCCTCTGATTTTCGGGGCTAAGCTACAAATATAATCTTGTGCTATTCTCATTTCACTAGTATGACAATTTATCTTCGCTATATTCCACCTATCAATTAGGAATTCAAGAATATCTGCATAATCGTTTGCAGTATAAATCTCGAGTCTTTGAGCAACTGAGGAGAAGTGCTCGAATAAGTTTTCATCTTGCCCATCATACATGAGATTGCCAGGCATGGTTATCTTCCTCCTCATTAAGTCCTCAAACACTAAGAGAGTTCCATTGGGATCAATCTCAAACAGCTTCTCTACTATCTTAACATAAGCAATTTCATGGCGTTTTTCGTCCGAGGCGATGGCTCCACAAAGCTGTGCTAGTTTCTTGTCCCCAAACTTCTTGGCATGCCTAGCTGTGCGTCTATGTGATATGAATGTTGCTCTCTCTTGGAAGGATGTGTAAATATAGATATGACAAGGATCTGTTGGTAAGCCCATATCCTGGAAGAAGTGACAAAGGAAGTGAGTAGCTCACAAAGAAAGAAAATGACTACAGTTAAATGAGATTTGAGTTATTAGTCCATCTTTATCTCACTTTAACAAGCCTAAAATAAGGGAAGGTAGACTATAATTGATGTTCAATAAAAGCAATGTTTTAAAAAATGGATCGTTGACCTAGATCGTCCGTCATGAAAATAGGTATGTACTGGTGGATTGTCTAGATTTGCCTTATCTTGCCTTTAAATAATTCAAAATAATTGTTCGAAATGGTTGTAAATGTGTTTTTTTGGATTTTCAATGAAAAAAAAGGGTGTAGTGCATTATGAATTTTCATTATCTTGTAATAATACATGAATTTTGATATGTCATTTCTTGTTTTGAAAATCTATTGACCATTGAATATTTTATGGTTTTCAAACTCTTAAATTCCTATTAAAGATAATGGCAGCCACTAATCCTAAGACCTCTCAATCTCTTCCTCTCTCTCTCTTGCATACACACGAACACACATTGAACATCTCTCTCTCACACCACACCCACAAACACATATTGAACACCTCTCTCTCTCACACACACAAAACATACATTGGATCTCTCTCTATCATGCAGACAAAAAATGTATTGGACATCAATCTCTAACACAAACATGTTAGACCACTCTTCCTCTGTCTTATACACAAACGAAAAACAATTAAAAAGATATTGCCCAATCCAGAAAGAAGAAAATAAACTTAGCAAACTAAACTTGCCTACTCTTTTTAATTAACAAAAATAAAAAATAAATAAGAAGAACTTGTAATCAGGATTAAAATATATGATTTTGGGATCAATTGAATAGTAGTTTTTGTTTTTTTTTAAAAAGCTTTATTACTTTTGTTGTTGATCATTAGATTAACTCATCATAATAATCTTCAGAAAAAAAAAAAAGAAGTAATTAAATATTGGTAAAAGGGAAACTCGATGCCTTTGTATTTCCCCTAAATTTAGACAAATTTTAATAGGTTTTTTTAGCTTTTATTAAAAAATCTTCATTTGCCATTAGTTTTTTTTAGATTAAATACTATTGGTTCTTTTTACTTTTTAAAAACACTTGTTTATTTACTATCTTTGTTTACAAAAGATCCAAAAATAAAATGGAAGGATGTTCAAAGAAACCTATAGTAAACAAAAAGCCTTCCATCTTTCTTTGAACATGGTTTATTCTTGAATCTTTTGAATACCTGTCCTTCTCACATTGGGGATTTGGAAGGCATGATAAAGCTCTTCGTGAAGGTGGGCCACCCCTCTTTAATAAATAAATTTACATGCATTTTGAAATATTAAAACTAAAAAAACAAAAAAGTCGGAATCCGTATGACTCGCTCGACTTTTTGATACAACTGGTTGATTTTTTTTAAAACCGCTTAGTTCCCACTTTATTTATAGAACCGGAATGGTTCCCTTAAAAAATGATCTAGATGGGACTATTTCCATCCTGAAAAATATTTTTTAAAATATTAGATAAAAGAAAGTTATAATTACATGATGCGTAATCAAGCGGCTAAGGCGTGTTCCATAAATTTATTTTTGGGGATTTTCAATGCGATGAACCTCACTCCAAGGGTTTGATTTCAAGTTTATTAGTAAAAGGTGTATGCGATTATTTTGTATTACAACTAACTAATTTTTAATATATATCTCTCAAAATAACATGATGTGAAGTTTGATAATCCCAAGATGGTCCGGCCCGCCAGTGGGTAGATGTATATTTTGGTGGGAAATATTATGGCCACTTATTTGTGAAATTTATGACAAAGAGACAAGGATGGCAGGCCTATATTCATATGCGGGTTGATGGTATGGTACCACACAAAAAGGGCGCTCAGCCTTTTGAGTAGAGGGTTTTGTTAGGCTACACCACCACTTGTTATGTAGATTTTTAAAGTGCTTCACATCTTTTTTTACACTAAAATATTTGTTAATTATAATATAAAATTTTTCTAGTAGAGACATTTTTGGCTATTTAAAAGAGTATAATGGATGTTTTTATAGAAAAATAGTGGCATTCAATTAGTAGTTAAAAACAAGTAATATATTTTGTTGGTGATGTCACACACCATATCAGTGACGTTATTGTCCATTATTGTTAATAAATGCTTTTATTTATATTAAAAAATTTTAGTTTGTCCTTGACTAATTACTTAAAATACATCTAAACAAAAAGTGATTATACTATAAGATAAATATATTTAAATATCTAAAAAAATTGAACACTTTAAGAGTCTACACCAGAAGTGGTTTAGCCTAACAAAACCTTTGAATAGATTGCATAGTAACCGAAAATCTAAAAATATCTTCATCATCCTTTGGATGGCTTTCATCTTTCATATGGAAAATGGCCTTGGTGCCCTAAGGAAATAACCAGTGTGGGTTGTCCAACTTAGAACTGGCCGGTCATATCCGTGCACTGGCCTGATCTGATTTTGGCCAGCTTTTTTTGGGGTCTATTGTGTATTTTGAAAAAAAAAAGTTGAAAACGCTATATAAAATCTCAAAAAATAAAGGATTTGTTTGTAATATATTTTGAATATTTTTTATACTTTTAGTAAATATTGGAGAGTGTTTTGGCTACAAATACTTATTTTTACATTTTTCTACTTTTTTTAGAAAATTTTAAAAATACCTTGGGGTAAAAAATTGATTTTTTAAAATTCATTTCTTTTACTACTTTTCAATTTTATTTAGATGCACATGCTTTAAATATACTTTTTATATTTTTTTGAATATATTTTTGTTTTTAAATTTTTTATTACTTTTTGGAACAGCCATGTGCTTCTAAGTTTGGTAAGTTGAACCCGTTAAGTTACCGGTTACTCCGACCCAGCCTTTAGCCAATTTTCCAATGCGAGTTCTATTTTTCGAACATTAGGACAATACATATTTAGGTCCTTTTGTTGCACATTAATTTTATGGGCTAGTTTCTGGTTATAATGTTAGTGAGTGTTCTAGTAATTACTTCTGTAGTTTGACTGGGATTGAATGTCAGGTTTGTACGTTGTTTCCAAAAGAAAAATCAGGGCTGCTAGAGGCATATATATGTTGTTGTAGTCCTGACATCTGCACTACCTAATTGTAGATAAATTCAAGACCAATTTGTATTGTTTAATACAATTAGAGAGTGCGGGATAATCGTGATTTGTTCACCGTCTAATCATGTTTGAGGGTGGTGCTTGCAAGAAAAATCTTGTAATCATTAATACCGAACTTGATTGGAGTGTGGATCGGTTGGGCAGCATGCACAACAACCGCATCCAAAAAACAATGGGTGCGGTGCATAATTTAAAATGCATGTCGACTGCCACCTACCCAGGCCCCCTACCTAACTCCTATTTTAAAGACAATATGCGATCACTAGGAAAGGGTGTGATATTTTTTCGCCAGCAAAATATTGGACCCTTGAAATCCCCTGTGCTACACTAGTTTTTATCGGTCGCGCATTCGATATGGAATCTCGTTTGGAACTCGTTCCCATCATTTTAGAATCTCGTTTTAATTTTTAAGATTTTAAATCTTATTTACAACGGAACTCGCATCCGATACAACATGATTTTAAGATCTTATTCCTAAATAAATTAGATCCTCACTCCTAAAATTTTAGGAGCACAATCCCTACGTATCTAGAACTCCATCCCTATTTTTTCAAAACATCCTAAAAGAAACTTCTTAAATAAAATTAATTTTTAAAATAAAATAATTATATTTTAAGCCAAATTTTCATAAAAGTGGAATTTTGTGATGGGAGTATAGACCGATCATGCACAGAACGCGATCCTTCTTTGAATGGAGCTCGATCCATTCCAAATAGGAATGCGGTCATTATTAGATGGGGGCACAAACCTATTGTTGATGGGATCACAATCCTAATGAATATGGGAACACGATCCCATTTGATATGGAAAGCGTTCTTGTTAAATAGGGATCTGGATCCCGATGTATTGGGAACGCGCTCTTTGTTCATACATGATCTCGATCCGCTACTTTTACCTTCACCGGAACGCGCTCCTCGAGCTTTGGGCAGACATTGCTTCGACGCTCCCGTTCCCGGAACATGAACGATTCCCGCTTCCGCTCCCGATAACTATGGTTTTTACTAATAGAAGGAGGTCACAACCACCCATCTCTTTTTGCATGTGAAATTGGGCAGTTAGAGGCATGCCATTTTTCTACACAAAGGCTGAGAAATTGGGCATAATATGTGACACCTCTGACCACCAATTTCACATCTGACAATTAAAGTACATTATAATTTTAAACGTCGTTGCATTCTTCTCCTAGTTTCTAAAAGGTTAGGATTTGCTTACCATTCCGGACCCAATCAAGTATTGACTGGTTTTCTCAACCTGCCTCATGTTTACCCTTCCACATAAGTAGAGATACTTGTTGAGAAGGTCACCGTGCCTGTTCTCTTCAGCTGTCCATGCCCGGCTCCAAATTGCCCAGGAACTTTGGGACGACCCGGTTTCATCTCTGGTGATATCATTAATGTTAAGCATGCTTTGATATGTGGGCAACGCTTCCTCTGTGATCATATCTCCTATCAAGCAAACAAAGTAATCATCAGGGATTTCGCTGCATTGTTTTTGAATTTCATTTACGCTTTCGAAAAATCCCTCAGAGGAAGGGTCAGGCAAGAAATCTTGTGGTTGCCATGATTCCTCGACGGGTTTCAGGTGAACCAGGATGTTCGTCTTCGCCCAATCTTCGATTGATTCGAAAATCTCCCTTTTCTCTGGGGGCATTGTTTGCTTCACTTGATGATGTTCGATTCCAGGGTTGACCTTCTCTCCGGTCATTACAACATCCCTTAGTGAATCAAGAATGTAAAAATACAAAGGTTATTTGCAAACTATGCGATAAACTCTAAAAACAAGAGAAAAGACAAAAAAAAAAGGATATTTGCATGAAATGAGTTAAAAAGTTTATCCAGCAATTTGCAGATCTAAAATTCTTTGATAACATGAAAAAGAATGGCACAAGAAATTTCTACAAAGTATATATTTGTATGGAAAGGTATACAATGAAACTATTGACTTTTGTTACAAGAAACTCATAATCATTATTTAGTTTTAGATGTGAATATTATATGGTTAGGGATGTCTCACTCACTTTGCACAAAAATTGAAATAAATTTTTTAAAAAATTGTGACTTCCTTGTATTAAAAGTGAATAGTTTTGTAGTATACAATCTCCAAATAAATTGAACTTTGATCGAATTATTTTGGTGCAGTAAAGATTAAGAATCATACATCAGCTGCAAATAACTTTTGTATAATTCTTAAAGGGTTTGAGGCTGGTTTGCAGGAATTAATGCAACGATTGTGTATGCACATTAAATATTTGTTAACTCAACTGAAAGGGTTAACGCAAACGCTATTTTCACCTAGGGAAAATATAGCACGAGATTGAATGTTATTAACTAAAAAACTTATGGACTCGGTGCCCATGCGGCCCCCGTAGAAATGTGGGCTTGACAATAAATATAATTTTTTAATATAATTTGATCTTAATTTTTAGAAAATTAATATATAACCGTTAATATGGAGATCATGAATATGAAAAAAAATTAAAATTTTTTTAAAAAGTTAATAATTATATTAAAAAAAAATTTTAACCGTTAATTATATTTATTTTTTGATAGACCGCCTATTTGCATCTTATAGACTGCAGATTCAGATTGTAAAAATAGACTGCATACTGTAAAAATGCTATCCAGCCCGCATGAAACAACTTCCCAAAGGGATTGTATATAACGAGACTTTCCGAAAAAGGGTGTATATCGGGAAAGTATACCCTGCTAGAAGTTCAGTTTCAAACAGAACGTCAGTTCCTTATAAAACTAAGTTTAAGGTCCTGTAAGATCAATTTGTACATTTGATCCTGCGGCACAGAACTTGTTAAGGAACATGCTTGACCACAACCCTGTACCTATCTAAGTGTATGTGTGGAGAGAGAGAGAGAGAGAGGAGAGTATTTACGTGGACAGAGAGAGAGAGAGAGAGAGAGAGAGAGTACGTTACGTACGGTACGGAGTGACGACGTACGTACGTTACGTACGAAGTAACGTAACTACGTACGACGTACGTACGTACGTACGTTACGTTCGTTACGTAG